CAGGTGTCTGTGGGGCTTGAGCCTGGAAAATGCGGGAGGCCTGCCCCTCCAGTTGGGAGTGGTAACTCGCTGCAGGGGGTCCCTGGGGGTGCACTTCGCCCGGGAGCCCAAAGCTGGGCTCGGGTGGACGGGCCAGGCTGTCGGGAGGTGGAGCTACAGGTGGGCTCTGGGGGAAGAGTGGAGGGTGGTGGTAGGAGTGAGATGGCCCCTGGGACAGCACAGAGGAGGAGTCGGAGTCATTCTCCACGCTGCCAGGGCTATAGACGCTGGGTGAGGTGCTCCTGTTATCCTGGTCAATGTCCCGTGGGTCACTGCTCATCTCATCGTTGAAGCTGTGGCCATCAAGACTGTCAACATCGGATGGAGATGGAGGGCAGGGCAACTCCTGAAGTTGGAAGAAGGAGATATTATGTGGCTTCCCAGACCATGCAGAGTACTTTTCACATTCCAGAAAACTTGCTTTCTGACCTTTCTGTGCCAGCACTAGAAAACCCCACAGATGGAAGGATACATTGTCTGCCAAGTTATAGATATCACCTGTCCTTCTGCTTCCCCCTGGAGCAATCTCAGTGCTTCGAGGTCCTTCATGAGCATCACATGCTCAGAGAAGAGGTAATGACGGGCACCTCCTGTACAGAGGCAGTGAGGGAGGGCAGGGAACTGTTACAGATGAGGTTGAGAGTGAATGAATAGGAAAAGTGCTAGCACCACCACCACCCGTGACGGGCCATTGGCCCGGATATATCACCAGGTGGCATGGAACCGTATGCACCACAGTGTGCCCAGCACAATCCCCAGACCCAAAATCACTGTTGTCCCTGCAGGGCTCTGTGCTGGTGAGAAGACCTGCTCCTCTCCAGCTCCCTCTCACCACCCCACTCCTTACCTCCTAGAGTTTCTCCTGCACTTCCCAACCCCTGCTCCTCCCCACCATCTCTCACCTCAGACAACAAAAAGCATCAGTGATTATGCAGTTAGCACTGGCAATTAAGATGTGCCACTCTTGAGCCTTCCGGCTTTCAAGCGAGGCTAAACTGAAAAAAGATCACTGTTGAGCTGAATAGGAGTGTGCACGTGGAGAAATTACAAAGGTGTCACTGCAGTGGTTTAACTACAATAACCTCATAACTCAAGCAAATACCCCTGTGTTTGCAGGCCTTTAAGGCCAGTTCCCCGAATAAGCCAAAGGAGGAACTAAGAAGTGCAAGAGTGAAGGCCTCCTCCAACCACCCAAACACCAATCCAGCCCAGTACTGCCACAATTATGCAGAGCATATGGATGAGGAGGTTTTTGCATGACTGTCACCTGGAACACACCATGGCTTATGCACCTCCATTTCACACTGCTCTGGGGGAGCAAAAGAGGCTGAGTCTGACTGGCAGCTGCGCAGAGCCAGGCTCTTCCCTCTGAGCTGAAAGGCAGCGCATGTGCCCAGCTCCAAGAGCATGACAGTCCCCTGCAGACAAGGCAAAAGAGATGGGAGAGCCTCATCTGCTCAGTCGTTGCTCCTGGTGGCATTTTTGTAGCCAGGCAGATGCCATTTCGGTTGCAAATCCCAAGGTGCCAGGGCTCCCAAACAGCAGGAACCTCAAGCTGGGCAGGTGTGAGCAGCAGAGGCAGGGAACAGGAGACTCTTTTGCCCTGGACTTGTGACATGCCAGCAATCACATCAGGGAAAACTCACCTCAGTTTTGGTTTTTTTGGGAGCATTGCTGTCCTCCCCTTCACTCTCTGAAATCTCTTCTGCTCGGCCCTGCTTGCTGACCTTGGGGGTGCAGGATTCCTCCACTCGGCCTTTCTGCAAGACAAAGATGGAGAACAGGGAGGTGGGAACGACATGGGGAAATTTCCCACTCTGCCAGGCTTTCACAGGCTGCAGCAGGTGAGACACAGCCACCGTGTTTAAGACCACAGCAGAGCAACACTGAGCTGAGATATAGCAAAAATTAGCACTAAAAAGGGCTGGTGAGATTGAAGACCAGTTCTTGGGAGATGGCAGCAAGTAGAAGATGCTGAGGATAAGAGGAAAGAGGGATCCCGCCCATTCCGGAGAGCTAACCCATCATGGCTTCCTTGGTGGATCCCTTATGGCCTGCATCTCTGGACCCTCAAATGGATCCTACCCAGCCAGATAAGTCCTTGAGGACCCCACACTCACACACCAGCTTAAACTACCTTTGTTGCTTGTCGGGACTTCTCAGCTTTGCCATCGCTGCTGGAGGTGCTGACGCCCCCAGGGGAAGCTCGACCCCGTGACCTGAGCTCCTCTCGGGGCCCTGGAGTCTCTTTCTTCCGTCCACTCCGCATTGACATCTAAGGAGGCATCACTGGATCAGTCCTGCTTTGCATCTCCCTCCACTCCTGCCCCATTCCCAGCCTCCCAAAGCCCATGAACTGCCACCACTCCACAATGCAAAAGTCAGGTCCATGAGCTTTGCTGTGAGCCTCGGTCACAACCCACAGCTTCAGCTTGGCTCTGGTGTCCCACCCTCCTCTCCCATCTCACGTACTGAGTCCTTGTTCTGTCGTGTCTTCATTCTTTTGAGTGTGGGACCCCCATTCTCCTTGGCCCGGTTTGATGAGAACATAAATTTTTATCACTCTGCACCCCCCTTCAGCTGTTCCTGGGGAGATGGAGACAGGCAAAAGCAGTTCTTCCGGAACAGAAGCTTACACCAGTGATCCGGCAAGATCCTGCTGAGTCCTGAAAGGAAGACAAGGAGATGAGAAGGAAGAAAGAATAAGTGAACTGTGAGACATCCTTTTGTCATCTGCTATAGAACTATGACAAAATTAATATTTCTTCCTTAATTACTATTTAAGGATGCAAATATCTTTACCAAGAATGCAATAAACTTCCCCATCAGAAGGTAAAATGATTTGGGCGCTGTCACCTCTCATTTCCAATTTCTGAGATTGATACCCACATGATGTGAGGCAGTCAGGCCCCGATAATACTTTTCTGGACGAAGCAGGGAGGAATGGTTACCAGTATGTTGATTGTCCTCTGAAATAATTTTAGCATTTCCATTTCCCTGTTTATTTAATCTTCAGAGAGAGGGGGAAAAATTAACAGGAAAGCGCTTTAAAATGTTCCTAAGGACAATTTTCCTGACTTGTTATGCTCCTCTTTGCACTTACTGTCAGTGCAGGATGTTACAGCCACGTGCTGTCATTAGCTAGCTCTCTGAAATGAGCCCCCAGTGGCCTTTGCTGAAGGGGTATTACACAGCCCTGCCCTCTCCAGAGCACATGCACATGCATACACGTACCATCAGGTTATGATGGAAATATGGCAAGTCTTGCTTAGGCTGTTCAGTGTCCAAGCTACAACAGATAGGTGCGAGAAGATGCTTTGACTTTGCATGATGCAGAAAGAATCGACTCTCTTTAGCCTGGAGCTCCTGCCTAGGTCTCCTTTCCCATACACTGGACTGTTTCTCTGTGCACCAGAGTCATGCCCAGAGACGCAGAGTAGGTCCTTACACTTTGCAGCAGCAGGATGATTTCCAAGATCCCTCTGAACAAATTTATAGCTATGTCCAAAAGCACAGTAGATATTTAACACCATGTAATGCCACACAGTTGCTGGTTTAGAGTATGAAAGCACCACGATTGTGTTAGCCTGGGAACCAAAATGACTCAGGGATGTTGCTCCTGAGGCTAGTTTTCTTGGCTCCATCCAACTGAAGATCTTTCACACTGCACTGCACAGGCAGATGTAACTCAAAAGAGGCTGTGCCTCGGCAGCACGTCACTCAAGTTCCTACACTCAGCCCCTGGAATGGACAATCTGCAAGACAAGGAAATGTGTCCCACAGACGAGGCACCAGGTTATATTCTGGGTTATATTCTCTGATCTGGAAGCACAAAGAAGTTTTATGAATAAAACTCCTAAAGGCCAGCCCAGACCTGGAAAGATCAGTTTCCAGCCAACCAGTGCAGGAGCAGTCTGGATTCACTTTCATTTCTGTGACAAGGAAGCTGAAACCATGGATCAGGGCAAAGGGACCGGACAGGAGAACTCTTGGACCTCCTGTGCAGCCCTGATGCTGGACTGTGTGGCTCTGGGGCACTGCTTTTCACCACTTTCATCTCCCTATCTGTTAAAAGGGAGTTGTGACACTGGCCTCTCTCTTATGGGGCTCACATCTTCCCTGACCAATACTTAGAGAAACCCATCCGGATGGTACTTGGGAAGAGCAGGGGACTGTTTGTTTTAATTTCATTAATATTTTATTTGACCCTCGTCAGGAAAGCCACAGGGGACTCATCCAGCATTAATTCCCACACACAACAATTCATTAACTGAGACCTCTTCTTTAATAGAAAAATAGCTCACAATGGTTTATAGCTGACCTAATGGAGGCAGAGCACTCTCCTAATCCCTGCCAACTGATGTGTGCTACAGCTTTACATTTCTGTCATACTTTGGCCTTTGGCTGCTAATTCAGCCAGTTACACTGATGCTACTCTAGACACGCATCTAGAATTAACATTTCATCCACGAAACAAACATTTTAAGTAAGGCGCTCCTAAGTTAACTCAACTTCAACACACCCCATGTTGGCAACCTCCAAGTAGTAGCTCAGCTCCGAACACAGAGCTGCAGCAACAGCAGGTTACCAAGACATCACTGCTCTTCACATTCAACAGGGATGCCACCCATGCCTCCCACACCGAAAAACCGAACAGTGTAAGGCACTGCACAGGTCTCGCTTCAGCTTTCCAGTAACCCTCTAATGAGAACGATGCTCTTCTTTCCAGAAAAGTCCAGAGAAGTAATAAGCAGCAAACCACACACTGAAACTTCCCTTTTCAAAAGAGATACCAGCTCGGTACTTAGGCCAACCGCTGAAGATGCAGTACCGGACAAAGCCAGAAACAAATATGTATGTTTTGGTAGATATAATTAAACACTGGAGGATAAGTTTCTATCACTTACAGAGCGAAGACTTTTCTAAAACACGTAACAGAATTCACGCACGCATTCTTGGGTTCAGTACAGCAACGGTAATGTCAGAGGCCAGGTGAGAGGATCACACCACCGCCTTCTAATTTTAACATCTGTGAAATAAAAGCTTGCAATGTGAGCCTTGACAATTAACAAAGTTACACCTAACCCTTCCCAACAGTGAAGATCCCTGTAAATGTCTCTGCAGAGTTCTTAGGTCTTTGGAAAGGAAATGAGACATTTGGCAGGGCTGCTGTCAGAGGGATAACCTCTTCCTGGCCCTGTGAAGACCTTTACAGGTTTGATTGAGTTACGAGGCATTGCAAATCGCTATTTTCTGTTTGCATTTCATACAACCCAGCTAGGTTTGGCTTACTGCCCAAACCCCTCCATATTCTCACGTAAGCCCTGGTGCAGCCTCCTGTGAGGAAAGCACACTCAACAGGCATCCCCACGTGGGATCCAAAATGGATCCCATTCCTCCGCAGCTCCATGTAATTCTCCTTGCCAAAAGTGAACTGCCCTGCACAAGAAGCCAGGAGATCACAGGGTCCAGTTCCTATTCTGTCGAAGAATGCAGATAAGCATTCTCCTTCCCAGGCTGTAGTGTGGAGCAGCTCCTCAGAGGAAACAAAACTGTCTGCATCAAATGAGATGCACTCAGGTGTTACCTACTTAAATATACGCCCTTGCTGTCTTACAAAACTGCGTGAATTTTTGCCCCTGCCTCAGGGTAGCATTTACATGTGAGGATTGAGGGTCTGAGAAAATAAAACTTTCCTAGATGGCGACAGCAGCAGAGGAAATGGGAACAGGACCAGAATGTCTGGGATGGTTTTGGGCGGCTTGGCAAGGACTGTAGATGACAAAAAGCATCATGTGCCCCAAGGGCTTGCTCATGCTGGGGCTGCACACACAGGTACACCCAGCACATGTCCCAACAGCAGGGAGGCAATTTCCAGCAAGACAATAAAGTCTGGGAGGTGCCTCCAAATCCATGGAGGGCCGGAGGATTTTCTCACTTTGGCTGGGGCTCAACAGCAGAGAAAGCTCCAGGATGGGCAGCCTGAGACCAGGGCTCTGGTCTGCCCGAGAAGAAGAAAAGCAAGCAAAGGTCCAGCCCACCCTCCCTGGGGCCAGTGGCAGAAGGGAGAGCTGAAGGCTCCCAGTATGCACATCACTTAAGAAAAAGAATTAACACTACCATTACTTCAGCGGTGTTTCTTTAGCAAGCAGACATTCAAGACCTGATTCATTCCTCACTGAAATTAGCTGCTGGTACTCAGTTGTCAATAGTTACGGTCTCTTCCCCTTCTTTTGTATCACTCTTGTCTCTTGTCACCAACAACCAACCACATCTGCTTGGGTTTATTAACTGCTACTCCTGATCTTTTCCAACCTCAGAATCCCAATAATCTCCAGTGGATTCAGACCTGGTCCAAGCAGGAGTGCATGTGCACCAGGCAGAACATGACTATGATACATGACACAGGAGCCCACCCTGATGAAGTGCTGATGCAGTGATGATTTGGGGGTAGAGGAGAATGAGCACTCCTGTAGCCTTCTCTCTCCACCAAGGCTCTGCCTGGGAGACCACACACCAGTTGGAAGCACTGAGTGCAAAGACGTCAAGGTGCTGGACATGGCTGGATCATTCAGCCTCAAAGAAGAAACAAATGAAAGCTCTGTCACCCATCAGGACCAGAAATAGTGCAAGAAGGGGAAATTTGACAGCATATGTACTTGTAAACAACATGGGATAGCGCCTGTTTGTAATGCCAGTCACCTGTGTCCTGGGGGTGACTGGCACTACACAGCTTGCACTCAGATGGCAAAATTCTCCTACCCTCCAAAGGGGGACAGGCACATCTGACCTGGCACTGAGAAACAGCACAGTCCTACATTCACTCTGAAACCACACTCGGGCATCATCCGTGAGAGCACTCATTGGCACAGATGAAAGACGGTCCAAAGAAACACCATCCTACCGGGCAGCCAGCTCTGTGCACCACTGCTGGGACCCTTTGAGTTTGTTACTATGAACATAGCCAGTGTTACCTTCCATTAGCTGCTAGTCCACAGAAAATAAGTTTGGAGTGAAGAGTCAGCAAAGTTCCTCCTTTAGTCTAAGTATAGATGTTCTGAACTTCAAACTTCTTGTTTTCTTCAGCTGGGAAGTGTTGAAAGTACATAGTGACTACTCCTTCAGTAATCTTTTGAAATGTAGGAACTATGTCCAATATTCTACATGAAAGCAAAGGCATTTGGCATGCCAAGGCCGGGACTCAGAAGTCAGAAGATGCGAGGACTAAACTGAGTCCGCTTCTCTGCAATTAATTAGGTCCGTGCTCCCATCCTGCTTCTTCTCTTTCCCCTTCCGCAAAGGGATGGGTTAGCACTGGAGGGAGGAACTAGGGTGGTGGCGAAATGAACACAGCTGCTCTCTAACACACTGCAGATGCTATAAAGTGTCTCGAAAGTAAGATGGGATGATAACTGATGGATCTAACTTGACAGGTAAAGATCGCTCAGAAGGGAGTGCCCACCATGGGTGGGAAGTCAGAAGATGATATGTGTACATATGTGTGTGTGTGTGTATATATATATATGTATGTTCAGTGAATGACGGCCCCAGGCATTTTGAATTCCTGTCTCCATTTCCCTCATCTTACAAAATGAAGGGGAAATTCCCAGAAATGTAACTGGGTTTTACAACTGTGTAGTATCTTGAGAACACAAAGGTTTC